AAGGTGAGGTAACAATATAAGAGAATAAGAGGAGGTGATGTGGCATCATAAAATAATTAACAAAAACTAAACAATATGAAGGGAAGACACATTCCTTGACATGTGTCAAGATGGGGAGTGTCCTCCCTCATTTTAAAAACATTCCCTCCCCACCTCATGAGCAAATGATGAAGCTCATCAGAGTTCTATCTCTCTCTCTACGTAAGTCTCTTTCTCTCTCTTATTACAATTATGCACTTTATTTCTCTCTCTGTTCCTCGTAATATGTTCATTACTTTCTCATAATAATATTCTCATGAGTTATTCTCTCATAATGGTATTATGATTTTAATAATACTCTCATTATTCTCATAATAATGATATTCATATAAAAAATAGTATTTTCTTTCACTCATAATATCTTCATTACTTTCTTATATTAATAATATTATTATAATAATATTCTCACAATAATAAATAATGAATTTTAGCATTCAAATATTATGAGTATCAATTTTAATCTAGGGGAAATATCTTCGTACCCTTTATTTTTGGTTTTTATATTTCAATAGACACAATGATTCAAAATATATGTCCTAAACCCCTAACTAACTTTACCCAATTTTAATTATTTTTTTAACCCTAACAAATACAAAAAAAAGCATGCTCAATCTAAACCCTTCCTCTCTTTACGTGATATACTCCCTTCAAATTTCTCTCTCTCTAATATTCATCATCTTTGTCTCTCTAACGGAAGAGAGAGTGAGATACAAAATTTAAAAATGGGGCTTATGGAGATATTTTCCCTTTAATTTATTACGCATGACTTATTCAGTTATATATCATACACTTAATTTTGTATTATGGAGTTCAATTAGTTAATTTGTTAATTTTATTGTAATGTTATCAATGATTTTTACATGCATATTACTATATGTGTCATCATTACATTATTATATTATTTAATTTAGTATCAAATTTTGATTTATATATTGTTTGTATGCATATTATTTGCACTGTTTAATGTTATAATATTAATTATAATTTTTATTTAATTTTAATATTACATGTTATAGTATGTTATCATCACATATTATAATATGCTCTCATCATGATAATGTTCTCAAAATGTTCTCAGAAAAATAATTCTATAATACTTTTCACTCTCTTATATGAGCATATTTTTACGCTCCTTTCTCTATAGGACTCATTTGCTCTCTCTTCTCATACCTTTAGCTAAACACCCTTGATTCCAGTTCTACTCCAACAAAGATAATAACTTATCCATCTCAGAGTGACATATAGGTAAGTGACTTCATTTTTCCTATAAAATCATTATTGGAAAAACTAATATTTCTGTAATATTCCCAAAGATATTTTTGCATTTAATTGTAATATTTTCAGCATAAATTTTAGATATTGTAAGTGTTATGTGCAAGTGGCCTTGCTTTTCCTAAAAACAATTGTTAAAAATTTGGGTTTCTGCGTTATAAGTTTTGCGTATTTCTGTAACGTGATTATTTGAAAATACTGCAAGTGTTATGTGCAAGTGCTACGTGCAAGTATTATGTTCAATTGTTTTGTGCAAGTGTTGTGTGCAAGTGTTGTGCAAGTGATTTCTATAAATTTCTTCATGTGAATTTATTTCAAGGATATTTTAAAAATACGATATCTACTACATTGATATATGGCCTACAATTGACATAATAATGTCTTTTGAATTTATATGTATGATAATATGATATTGTGATGTCCCTTGTGACTATATGTATAGAATAGACATGTTGATGTTTCTTGTAGTTACATATGAGCGTTGTACTTCATTTTTTATGTACTTAAATCCCTAGTACAAATAAGAAGAGAGCTAGTAACAACCTGGTCTTGTCGGTACTCAAGATATCACCAGACTATGGGAACACTATGCCTAAAACTGGGAAACCCTGGAAAATGTACTAGAACATTCTTAAAAGACATAAAAATGGTAGTTTGGGATACCTGAAGGACGCTCGCAAAGTTTCGTCCAATTCAGAGAAGTTTTGACCCGATCAGGACGAAATTCAGTTCTAAAAAACTAGCTCCTATAATGCCAAAAAGAGACTTTACAACTCTACCCCTATTCTGAGAGCTTCAAAATAATACCAAACCACTGCTATTGCATCCAAAACATTGAAAAAAACCCCAAGGACCAAATTTGGGCTCAATCGGTCCTCTCAAGAACATTCCGAGCCTAAATTTCAAAAAATGGGTAGGTTTTACACTATTGCGGTGTGGCCTCACCAAACCAGTTTCCAATCATGGAGGTTGTGCTTTCACATGTCAAGATGACCTTTAAGCACCCATACATCACTTGTTTAGCGTAAGAATAAGCTCAAATTTGGACAAAAGCTAAGTCTCGACTACTTGGTCATTTTGACATATGCCACATAACCCAGACCCTAAGCTTTTCTTGAGAGAAGATGAGCCCGAGACCATAAAAAATTAGAGTTCGAAGGAAAAGACATCTCGAACTTTGTGAAGCAATAATTTGAGATCCGTACATCAAATCATCGTAAAGTCGGGTCTGTTGAGACCGTATCACGAAGGGCTACAAGTTTGTATAACATTTGCATACAATCTAAGGTCGGATAGCGTAACTTCCAAGGTTGAAGAGGGCAAGATTTCCCTGTCACCGGAATCCCTTTTTCCGGTGATCTCTCAAATTCAAGAATACTTCAAGCATGAACCAAATTGGTTGTGACAGTCTCCTCTTTAATTTGCAATCAAAATAAAGGCTCAGAGCACCATGGATCGCACTACATTGACGGCCAAAGTTTACAACCGAGCTGGATTTTTACCCCGCGGGAAAAGTCCTTCATAAAACGATCAAAAGACATCAAACTCCTCATAATCAAGCAAGCATCAGGACTACGATGATGGATCGTCTGAACCACCGCCACAAACATCCGAAAAAGCTTCTAAGATCTGGCAATGGCGAAAGGCCCCTAAAAAAGGGATGGTTTTGTCATTAGCAAAAAAAGTTTATAGGGCATTTTGGTCTTTTTCCCTAAATTCAGGATTTTATTGTAATTTCTTTTAATCATAATTAGGCTTAGTTTTGAACATCCACCTCTGTTTGGTGTTTGTATGCGATTTTGGTCTTTGTGGCATACGACCTCGATGAATCTCAAGGCTTTGTTGAGCACTCAACATCTTTTCGTCAAGAGCATCAAGTTCTTGGTAGCGAAGGGAAGTTTGCTCCTTATCAGTCATCTCATGGTGGAGGGCTGCTCGGAGTGAGGGCAATTGGACTTTTAGAGGCAAGATCGTTTCGCTTATATAGACCAATGAGTAGGGTGTAGCTTCAGTGGGACACACATAGCGGTGTGATATGCCCATAGGACCTAAGGGAGTTTTTCATGTCAGTTTCTCTTCATCTTGGAGATGGCCTTGCACATGGCATCACAGAGAGTCCTATTGAAGGCTTCAGCTAGGCCATGGTCTTGGGGATGGTACATAGTCGAGTACTCCCAATCAAAGTCGAACTGATTGACCAAGCAGTCTATATGATGGTTGTGAAATTGTGGGCCATTATCTGAAGCGATTCGGTCAGGGACACCAAATTTATAGACATTGCGATAGCGGACAAACTTAGCCACCGTATAAAACTAGGGCATATGACAAGAGAAACTCATAATTCATTGTAAAATTTGTTTTTATAATTTCTTAAATTGATTCCCCATTTTTGTATAAATTTTATTTTATTTATTTATTCTGACCCTCAGTTGAACCCCGAGTACTTGGCTCAGAAGTCCGAGTGACCTAACAAATCATAGAGGACTAGGCCTGAATTTCGACCTCGTGAGTAATGTCGCATGCACATAAACTGGCCAAATGTCATGTTCTTTCATGCACAGTTCGCAAAACCAGTTTGGTCAACCCAGACCCGAGCAGGTTACTTGGAATTGGCCATAGGCAGTGGTCGATTTTGGCTCGTTAGTGTGGTCAACCAGCTTGACCACACTAACTAAAAGAAAACTAAAATAAAAATAAAAATATAAAAAAAATAATTTTGTTTGTAATAAATTTTTTAATGTTTTCTATTATTTTGGAAAAGATTGAGAAGAATTTGGGTTATAAGTGCTTATTTTTATATTTTTCTATCTTTTTTAAATTATTTCTAAACTACCCCTGGGTACAAATTGAATTTTTCAAATCTATTTTTGTAGTATTTTTTATTCTAATTTAACATTATTTTATTTAATTAATACTTTAAACATACTATTCATATTTTTTTGAGATTTATTTTACAATTTTTTGGCCTTTTTAGCCTCATCCATACCAACCTAGTTAGGGCCAGTTATCCTGACCGGTTCGAGGTACTCAAACCCTGTATATTGCCAGGTTCCAAGCCTAGTTCGTGCAACCGAACACTGCTTATAAGTGAAACCTGGCCAATTTGGCAACATTGTCATTTAGTAGAGAGGGGAGAACTTATTTGGTAAATTTCGGGGAAAAAGTTTCTATACTTCCTTTGCAGCATAGAAGATTTATGCTTCCCCTACCATCCAGCCATCCAGTTTTGATCAAGAGAGCCACTCATCGTTTGATCTTAGATCCGATATCTCAAAGTATTTTATTTTTAGTTTTTTTTATACAAATTGTATGATATGAAATTTAGTATGTGTCATCTTCTCATTGGGGCACACCTATATAAAATATTAAAAATAAATTTTCGATAAAATATAATGATCAAAATACCCTTTAAAGCTTTCATAGGTATTTTGATCATTTTATTTTTATTAAAAATATTGTTTTTTATATTTTTCGTTGGTGCGAGTTTAATAGAGGATTGGATGTACAAAATTGGTGTCAAAATAGTTTATAGAAAAAAAATGAAAAATACAATAATATAGAGACATGACATTGTGATTGGGACAATCTTAACCCTCCATACCGAATGGAGGGCCGGATTTTATGCTGTTGGAAAAGCACACGAAGCTTGCCCAAATTTCGGGAGCCGAGTGAATTTTGGTGAGTCTAGTGAAACCGCAGGTGTTCCTCTACTTCCTCACATTAACTCTTCTCTTTTCTGCACTACGAAAAAGTTCACGGGGAAGTGAAAAGAGAAGCCACAACTCGAGACAGGGAAGTGAAAAGAGAAAGCCACAACTCGAGACGCATTTAGAGGGACTGCGTTGATTCCCCGTGAATACTTGCAACAGCAAGCAGCCCCAAAAGTTATCCCTCAACCGCTTCCTTGTTTTGGATGCCACAAAGTAAGGGTAGCAACGGGCCTGCCTTGGCATTGGCCTGCATCTTGGCCCCATGGGCTGCTCAAGCCTAACCCTGGTCTTGTTAGGGTCGAGTCGGGCCACAGACAATTGAAACAAAAAGAAGAGACAGCCGGAACAAGGCCTTTCCAGGCACGTATTAGTAGGGCGGCCGTACGGACACAGTAACCGAACCCCTAGTATTTTTGGGCCGCCACAGCACCTGGCCAGCCCACTCCTAAGCGCAATGCAAAATCATATCACCCATGTAAAAGCCTCTCTTAGATAAAGGGGTCATAATGAGGAAAGACATTAGATCTTGGGTCTTGCAATTATGCATGCCGCATAGGGCAGTGCAAGGTTGTTGGCATCGGTTGTGGCGCCATTTAAGCCCAGACATGCACACGACTGATGAGACTCTTGCCTCACTCCAAGAAAACCAGGCTCGCCATGGCCACACTTTCACCCCTTGCACTTGCAATGCTTATATTTGCAGCTTGCTGTGTCCTTTCCCTAGCCAGTGGAGGTGGTGAATGGAAGCTTATGAAGCGCAGCATTGGTATCTCCGCCATGCACATGGCATTGCTACCAAATGATCGGGTCATAATATTCGACAGGACCGATTTTGGGCCGTCAAATGTGTCACTGCCAAAAGGCCGATGTCGCAAAGACCCTCACGACCAGGCTCTTCAGACTGACTGTTGGGCTCACTCTGTCGAGCTCGACTTGGTCACCCATGCTGTTCGTTCTCTCACCCTACAGACAGACACTTGGTGCTCGTCCGGCGCACTTGCGCCGGATGGCCATTTGATTCAGACAGGTGGATTTAACGATGGGGAGCGCGTTGTGCGCACATTCTCGCCATGTTCTGACTGTGATTGGGCTGAGACCCCTGACGGCCTAGCGGTGCGACGGTGGTATGCCAGCAACCAAATCCTTCCTGATGGACGCATAATAGTTGTTGGCGGGCGAAAAGAGTTCAGCTATGAGTTTGTCCCGAAAACCGATCCATCGGAGCAATGCACATATCCATTGGACTTTCTTTCAGAGACTAGAGATGAGTGCGAGAATAATCTATACCCATTTGTCCATCTCTTGCCTGATGGCACCCTCTTCTTGTTCTCAAACACGAAGGCCATCTCTCTAGACTACATGACCCACCGGGTGGTGCGCACATTTCCGGCACTATCGGGTGAGTCACGAAATTACCCAAGCACTGGTTCCTCTGCAATGCTTCCACTCATCTTAGCTGTAAATAGTACACAACCAGTGGATGCGGAAGTCCTTGTATGTGGCGGTGCACCATCACATTCTAATTTTCAAGCCAACAAAGGCCTGTTCCTTCCTGCCTCTAGGACATGTGGTCGGATCAAAGCAACCGACGATTCCCCAGAATGGAGCATTGAGGCAATGCCATTGAACAGAGTCATGGGTGACATGATAATGCTTCCCACTGGTGAAGTTCTCATTATTAATGGAGCCAGAAAGGGAACGGCAGGCTGGGGAGTCGGAAGAGACCCAGTTTTGAGCCCTGTGCTCTATAAACCCGATGAGCCAATAGGCCATCGGTTCGAGGTTTTAAGCCCAGCTTCGATCCCAAGGCTATATCACTCTTCTGCCCATTTACTTCCCGATGGTCGAGTTCTTGTGGGAGGAAGTAACCCGAATATGAGATACAATTTTTCCGGTGTTCTTTTCCCGACTGAGCTGAGCCTCGACATCTTCTCTCCACCTTATATGAAACTGAAGAGCTCAAGGCCGAGAATCACATCGATAAAACCAGGCAGAACACTGTCCTATAGCCAACATTTTTTTATAAATATTGAAATGAAGGAGAAAGCAATAAAGGGTGTGGATACAATTTTGGTTACAATGGTGGCTCCCTCTTTTACTACACACTCTGTTTCTATGAACCAGAGGCTATTGGTTCTGACAGTGATGGGGCTTAAGGGTGGGCATGATGGGTCTTACAGGGTTGAGTGTGTGCCTCCAGGGTCAGCTGTGTTGGCGCCTCCTGGTTATTATCTTTTGTATCTGGTCCATGGTGGGTCGCCTAGCCGTGGGGTTTGGGTTCGGTTGAGGTAAGGGTTAGCTCACTATTTATGGTTCTTGGGTCATGGTGGTAACTGTGAAGTGGGGTTCTGTGCTGGTCGTTGGCCTATTGTTTGATATCGAGTACCCTAGCCAAGTTGATTTTCGGTACATTAGTTCCTAATCAATTGTTTGAGTTCCTAATCAATTGTGTTTTTTTTGAGCTAGTTATATAAACATTAAAAAAAATACACAAAAGGAATCGAATTGACCCAAAAATTACAAGGAAGGTTGGTTATGGTAGAATTTTTATATTTTCCTAAAATGCTTCTCGGTCAGAGTATACCAACCCAGGACCAGATTTAATTTAATTTAATTTTTATGTTTTAGTTTTCTATATTGTGTCCTTTGTTTTAAGATAGTTGGAGATAGGTTTGAGGTCCCCAATCTCGAACGGCACAGAATATGGTCTTACACCACATTAGAGGTAATCTGAGCTCCCCATCTTCGGATGGCCCAAATTGTCGTGTTACACCACATTACAAGCATTTTGAGGTTTCCATCCTCGGACAACCTATAATGTGGTTGAACACGACCGTGTGGGTGGTCCGAGCATGGGGACTTCGGACTGCTAACTTGATTGAGCCTAAGAAAGCGGTTCGAGATCTCCATTCTCAAACCGGTCACCAACTGTTAAACTAAAAAAAAAAAATTAAAGCGGTCCAAGGATGGTAGAGAGGCAATATGATTTAAAAGTCTATATTAATTGTTATTTCTTGTATTTTTAAGTCAATTCAGCTTTTTTTTGTTGTTGACATAATTGGCTCCTTATTTTTTCAATATTAATGACAGTAGTGCCCTGTGCTTTGCATATCAACATTGACGCGTCTTATAGCAAAAACAATGCAAAATGTTTTGGTATGTGGTTACAAGTTACCATGTCACCACCTTGTTTGTCCATATTTGTGAAGAAATGATTACCTTGCACATTTTTCACAATAACTTCGTTTGTGTACCCTTTTGCATCATCCAACATAAAATTATTAGAGTGCATTTAGGATTCTGTCTTTTACTGAACACCTTTCCCATGTTTAGTAAACATATTGAGAAAATGGATTACATACGATGAGTGCACTGCATTTTTTCTACCCAAATTTCCCCTCCCAAGAATGAAATTGACTGTCAGACTTCACATGTAATATATGGACGGTTACGGACGGGCTTTTTGAGCATTTCCACTTCCTCATAAGTAAACATAAGAATGAGAAAGGCGAAGAGGGTCTTTGAGGATGATGAGTGGACGAGTACTCTTTTACGAATACGACCTATTTGTTTTTTGTTTTTTTGTTTTTTTTGGGTGAATCAGTGAGGATGTTGGGCCTACCCGTTTTATGAATACGACCTACCGGTTATAAAAGGACGCAGTTCAATTAGGCCCGGGCGCTATGAAAAAAAAAAAATAATAAAAAAACTAAAAAAAAAAAATAGGGAGTAAAGTTTCACCTTAAAACCTGGAAAATTATTCAGGGATGAGAAACTCTTATGACAGCTCTAAAATTGATTTTCACTACTTATTATAAAATCCGTATCTCAAAAATCAATACAGATCTTGTTGGTCTGTGAACAGTTGAAAATGAACGTGTAGATGATGTATTACACTATACATTATTTTTAAGGTTTGAAATCTATATTTTTTCTAACAACCATAATATTTAAGGTCGAGATGATCAATTTGAAGATTTTCTAATTCTGAAACTACAATTTTTTATGAGTTTCAAGGTTAGCCTTTACTTTTTTCCATAAGGCCTAAGCCTTATTTTAACCTATTCCATTTTAAAATTGGACTTTTTCTTACGGACATGAAAATATTTCAGTATTGTACAATATGGTCCATATTTTCTCAAAATTTGCACGTAGTTCCCTTTTTTTAGAGATTTTTTACTTCAATATTTCAATTATACCAGATGCCCAATTTCTGGGTTTGTCTGATGTTATGAACATCGTATTGCTGTAAAGGTATATATTAAGTTAACGTTGGCCTAGTCCAATATCTCACATATCAGACTGCTCTTCACTTTGTTGTTTGATAGCAAGTCGCTATTGTGGCAACCCGACGTTGGAGAAGTTAGACAGGGTTGCTAACATCGAACCATTGGCAAACTAGGAAAATTATAAATTCTTTTAAGAATGTAGAATGTCTGCATAAATTTTGAGAAAATATAGACCACAATATAATATTGAAAATATTACGGAATATTACGGACAATCTTTCCTTTAAAGCAATGGTTTAAAAACCGGATCGGTGACCCGGATCTGGCTTTTCAAAAACCGATCCGGATCGCCG